TCTATACAATGACCGGTAGGCCAAGCGGTGCTCCTGAATATCAGGCACCGGAAGTCACAAGTGGTAGGTATGACCACAGGATAGACATCTTTAGTCTGTTTAAAATCGGCGAAAAACTATTTGATTTGAATGTGAATAACGAGTCGTAAGTATTTTTAAAGTTATCAATAATTATATTCATATAAATATTAATAATAAATATTTCTCTCAAATATAGTCCGCAATCCTATTCATCAGATAATGAAGTCTTAAACAAATGTGTCATTAAATTACGGGAAGTATTGGTTTCGATGTCGTTGTCCCCCAATTGGGAGGACAGACCCGAGTGTAAGGATGTGTTGAAGACATACCTCGAGTGGGCTATTCATGAGAAATATGTGGCAAAAGATTTGATGTCTTTAATTCCCATTCTCTGGCAAAATATGAAACGACTAAATAATAGCGAGTTTTTCGTTAAATATTTTATCGCCAACTTTGGGGGTAATCATAATTACCCATTCATTAGAGATTTGATTAATAAGTTTTTTGTAAACAACTTATTCTCTAAACATGACCTTGTTCATGATCCAGACCTGGATTAGTAAACATTTGAAAATATAAACAAGTCAATAATATGTTTATCTTTATACTGTACGGTAAATAAATATTAAGTTATATTGAATTAATCAATTGTTTTTACTCCAAAATTATGTAACTTTTATAACTATATTTGCCCCAAATATCATGTAATTTATTTACATTTTAAATATAATTATTAATTAATTAGTTTCTTTGTCTTGAAAATTTTTGTATTTTTACAAAAAAGTTTGAATAAAATATTCATAATAATTGGTTGCATAATAAACTTATTTAATTGTAATAGTGTAGTTGTAATACTGTACAAATTCCTTAGAAGTGTACAGTACTCTAGCTAAGTTATATCTGGTATACATATTTATGATAACTACTAAAATGTCTTATGATTTTGCATACTATATTATCAATAGAAAAGTTATCACTTATTCAAAGCTTATTAAAACAAAAAATTAATTCTTTGTCACGTATATAGTGACTATATTATAGTCTCATATTTTTATGAAATTCAGTTATTATTTTTAAATGTAATATTATTCTATTGATATTACATTATTTATTTTGTATATTACTCTTATTCACATAAGATTTTAAATAAAAATATGGATAAAAGTATAGAAGATATTATTAAAACTATTAAAATATTTCATGTTTTCGATGACGAATACGGATGTAATGTCTTGATTGTGACGAACGACGACAAGGTTTATGGATTTGGATCTAATTATTTTGGATCACTTGGTTTGGGAGGTAATGACTACATAAGTAAACCACAATTGATCCCAGAGTTGTGTCACCAGAATATTCAGCATTTTCTTTATGGACAGCCATTTGTTTTGGCTATAAATGACAAGAACTGTATTTATATCTGGTCTCAACCGCTTGGGTCTCATTTATCCGCGATTATGAAATGTGAGAGACCTACGAATCTATTTAATTTGGATTTAATGGGATTCATAGACCGAGAAAATAATGAATTTTTTCAAAATCATGAGAAAATTTGTCAAATGACGTGCGGCTCTTTTCACATACTGGCCCTCACTAGTGATGGC